TTTCCTAGACTTACTTTTCCCAATGTATATACAGTAGTTGATGAAATTTTCACTCACACAAATTAACTATGATATTAACCATGCCAGTTTTGGAATTTTATAATATGCCAGTGAATATCCTAATCAATGCTTAGCATATGGCTCAGTTCTAACTTCTGTGAATTTGTAATTATATTTGAGTTTTTAAGATCATTCTTCAACAATTCCCTAAAAGAATTCATAGAACCTAGCAAAGAACATGGTTCTAGTTTATCACAACAAAAAGGTACATACTAAATTACTATCAGTAAAAGAGGTATAGGAAGCACCCAAGAGAGACCAGATACAAACAGCCTATTGTCCTTTCCCACAGGAATCTTATAACACTGCTTAATTCACCTAGAAATGACACGTGACAATGGGAAACATTAGCAACCAAGAAAGCTCACCTTGGCTTTCCTGTGTAGAGTTTTTAATTGAGATTTGTTCTTGTAGACAAAGATCTGTGTGTGGTTGACTGACTTTAGTTACTCAGCCTCTAACCTCAGCAAAAGTCAAGGCAATACTGTGTGGCCCAAGGTCCTAGGTAAACAAAGATACTTTGATTAGGCAAGCTATTTCAGAGGTTTAGAGGTAACCTCCTAGAAGCCAGTCAAGGACCATATCTTTCTTTAGAATGTACAGTTTGGCCACTGAGGCCTGCTGAGTTGCTTGTGGTTTGCTTTGTGATTCATTAGGCAAATGATCTAGAACCCCAATAACCTCTTAGGCTCTGGCTATCACAGAAGAGGTCAAGGCAATTCTCTTAAGTGACAATAACAGTACTTCATGCTTGTTTAGCCCTTTTTTCCTCCAGACTACCTAATTTCATTTGCTATAAATGAGATAGCAGGTTCTCTTTTTTTTTTTTTTTTTTTGAGACAGGGTCTCCCTGAAACTCACTATGTAGACCAGGCTGGCCTTGAACACACAGAGATCCATCTGCCTCTTCCTCCTGACTGCTGGGACTGAAGATGTGCACCACCATGCCCAGCACAGATTCTCATTTTGTAGATGAAAAAATAGGACACTTAAGAAGAAATTAAATGACATGCCTAAGAAGGCAACAATGGGAATAAAAAGAGAAATATATCATCCCTCTAGAAGAGCCACAACAGTCACCCGTTTTTTATGGTTCCATGTTTTATTTATTTATTTTTGAGACAGAGTCTTACTATGTAGCCCTGACTGGTCTGGAACTCTCCAGGTATACCAGGCTTACCTCAAATTCACAGAGCTCCTACTGCTGCCTCCTGAGTGCTGGGATTAAAGGCATGTGCCACCACACCTGGCTTTCCTTTTTTAGCATTAGCATTCTTGATGCGAAGATTCTAGGAGTCCCTCAAATGAAGGAACTCTGTGAAAACATAATTAAAAGAGACAACATAGAGGAGAATCAAAAGAAGAAACATTTTCCATTTTACTGCCAAAATAGTGTTAAGTTAGTAATGTTCTTCCCTTATTCACGGCATAGTGAGGTCAGCATAGACCTCTGCACCCCAGTGCATCATACCTCCTGAAGGCAAGCTGGCAGAGAGAAGGGGACAGAGGAGTGGGGAGTGAAGGGTAGAGAATGTCCACAAAGAAAGGGAGCTGCATTCCTTGCTGTAGACTAAAAGAAAAGGCTGGGGCTGAGGGGGAAGTTTGGAGTTAAGGACCTAAATTCTAGGACAGGCAAGATTTGTGATCTGTAAACTAGACCCTGATACCCTAAATCAGGCATTAGCAGTGGGCTTTATTTGGCTGCTTACTCTGGTATGTTATTTTTTAAAATATTTTATTTTTATTTTATGTGTATGAGTGTATATGTGTAAATACACCCATAGGTGTTGGGAATCTAATGTGGGTCCTCTGCAAGAGCAGCCAGTACTCTTAACTGCTGAGCCGTCTTTCCAGCCCTACTCTGGTATAAGACAAGGAGAGAACATAGTGTCATGCTGCAGAGTATGCACTTGGAGCATGCCTTTGAGTACTTAATCTGTAGCTTACTGTGTGGCTACAACACATTGTAGAATTATTTTTGCGTCATTTCCAATAAAGTAAAAATAGTACATAACTCATAAGATTGTTATGAAAATTAAAGAAATTAGTATATGAAAACCTTTTTGTTCAGAACATAGAATGAACACATTATATAAAATATACCTATTGTGCCAGGCATGGTGGCACATGCCATTAATCCCAGCACTCGGGAGGCAAAGGCAGGCGGATCTCTGTGAGTTCAAGGCCAGCCTGGTCTACACAGTGAGTTCCAGGACAGCTGGGGCTACAGGGAGACCCTGTCTCAAAAAGACTGAAAAAAAAATATATATATATATTTATATTGTTTAAATTAGTATTATAGTGCAAGAATATACAAATTTTAGATATATAAAGTTAATGCTTTCTGAAAAGTTCCAAAGGCAGCATGGAGGTGATTGTTTTGGGCAAGAGCCCTGGAAAATGAATTTAATGTTGGCGATATCATGTTCTATTTTCATGTATTCTGCCTCTGCTATTTTATAGGCATCCAGCTGCTCCCCTGCTCAGAGTTTTACTTCCTACATAGGTCTGCCATGTTAGAAGTCCTTCATGTTTATGGTGATTGTATTTTCATGACAAAAAAACCTAAAGTTTATGCTGGGAAACCATTTTTGGTAAAAGGCTTTTCCCTTGTCTTGCAGATCAAGATATTTTAGAAACTATATTAATAGACAGCTGTATCTTCCCAAGTACCACAATAGTAAGTAAACAACTTTTAGAATTAGTTTGTCTCATGATTACTTTTTAGAAAGTATTAAAAATACTTCAGATTTAAATAATACCTGGCCTAAAACTGAGACCTCTTCAAAGTACAGGTTCTTTCCTAGTTATAATACTTTCCCTGCATTTTGATCCTGGCACTGCCATTTTGATTCACTTCTACATTGTCTTTTTGAGAAGTTTTTCTTTAGATTTTTCTCTATTTTGAAGTCCTTCCCTATTTCTAAATCTAACCATACTGTGTAAAATGCATCATGTTCTTGTTCTGTAATGAAAAATAATGGAATGTAAAAAATGCTACTATTCCCTATTCTCTCTCTGCCCCCCCCTGTGTGTGTGTGTGTGTGTGTGTGTGTGTGTGTGTGTATGCTGGGGATTAAACACAAGGCCTCATGCATGTTAGGCAAGCATTCTACCACTGAGTTATAGCTCTAGTTATATCTCTAGTCCCTTAGTTATTGTTTCTTTATTAGTTTTCTTTATGTGTGTTTCCCCTTGGTAGCCAGATCATTTAAACAGTCTTATTATTGTGATGCTGTATGATTTCCAAGATAGAAAATTTCAACCTCGTGTGCTTCCTGATAATGAAGAGTCCATATCAGAAGTTCAAGAAGTAGAGAACCTTCTTAACAGGTAACTGTACAGGTGAAAAGGATGTTCACATGAAATCAACATTAGCATTTTCACATGCAAAATTTTATGTAGTATAACTTGTGTATACCTATGTCTTAAAGTGCGTGGAAAATGTATAAGTTCCTAAGTGTCTTGAGTTCCTTTGTAAACAGTCTTGAATAGACTATCTGATTTAAAATCATATTGTTTCAAAACATTGAATTGTGGGGCTGGAGAGATGGCTTAGTGGTTAAGAGCACTGGTTGCTCTTGCAAGAGGCCCAGGTTTGGTTCCCAACACCAACATGGTAGTTCACAACCATCTATAACTCCAGCTCCAGGGGATCAGATGCCCTCTTTTGACCTCCATGGGCATTGCACACATGGGTGTACTTACATACACGCAGGCAAAACACTCATACACATAAAAAAAAAAAGGAAAAATATTAAATTGTATGATCTAATGTATAAACATGGGAAATCATTACAAATTAATAATAATTTTATCATATACATAAGCTAAACTTCACTTGAAACAGCTATTTTTATTTCCTTAGTTATAAAAGCCCTTAAACAAATCTAGCACATAACAAATGAGAAAATTTCAACACTACACAAGAATTCATTATATTACCAAATTGAAAAAACAAAATCTGTTCAGTTAAGAGCAAAGTAATATGTTTAAATTTATTTTTTATTCTAAATATCAACAAGAGACTACCATGAAGCTAATAAATAATTACCTACCTCAAGGGGTGGTTAGGAAAACTAACATATAAATTCATACTTGGGTTAGAATTGGACACATAGTAAACAGTCAATGCATGATAAATAATACTATGTGCTAAATGTGCTATAATTAGAGTGTGTGCCAAGAATTTAGATATTGAAAACTTAATTCTCAGTTGGGAGGTAAAGCCTAGTGAGAGGTGCATTAGGCATGATACCTTCGTCTTCTTGGTTATATTAATGCTACTATTATTATTCTTGTTTCTTTAGTTTATGTGGTGTATATATGTGTTTGTGCGTGTGTACGTGTATGAAGGCCAGAGTTTGATGTCAGATGTTTTCCTCCATCACTCTACCATATTTTCAGAGACAGGGTCTCTCACTGAATCTGGAGCTCACTGATGTGTTAAACTGGTTGTCCAGCAAGCCCCAGCAATCCTCTGGTCTCTGCTGGCTGAGCATTGCAATTACAGGGATGGGATATTTCATCTGGCTTTTTAATGTAGGTTCTGGGGATTCAAACACAAGTCCTCGGTGTTTATACAGCCAGCACTTTACCCACTCAGCCATCTCCTTAGCCCTACTTTTTTTTTTCCTTTTGAGATGGTATCTCATGTAGCTCAGGCTGGCCTCAAGCTCCTTGTGTAGTCAATGATTTCTTTGAACTCTTGATCCTTCTGCCTCCTTCTCCCAAGTGCTAGTATTATAGGTGCTAGGATTTCTGCACCCTGAAAAATGCCATTGTTAAAAATTGCAGAGCTGGGAATGGAGAGATGGCTCAGCGATTAGGAGTACTTGCCCCCGCCTGCGGGGACCCTGTACAGGTAAAGCTCGAGGGGGACCACTCCCTGAAAGGAAAAATGGGCGAGAA